GTGTCTGCCCAATATGAGACAGCTACTTCGCCACTTGTGAGCAGGGTATGGAAAACTCTGGATTTTTGTCTCAGTGGAATACTAATTGTTATTTGTGGGTGTACTTTGTGCTAAGGCTTGTAATTGAAAGCAAATAAATAAAATGAAAGCGTCTATTGCAACATGTCGGGAAGGAGACATTCACTTTATATATCTGTATGTGTACAAATCTATATCCTAATGAGCAAATTTTGTTTTAAAAAATAGGTTTGGGACCTAGGGCTAATAAAGGATCTTTTGTTGATCTTTCTGAGTTACCACATGATGATTAACTGCATCTATACTGATCTGAAAACTCAGTTTAGCTGAAAGAGTCCAGCAGGTCTATGGCACAGTGGCAAGCGCTGCGTGTGCTACCTCCTACCTGTGTGGTAGCCTCCCTGGGAGGCCGTGCAAGGTGCCGTGCAGGCTGCTCCAGCACCAGCTGTGCTCAAGTGTGCATGCACTTGTGAGCTTTAGGGTTCATGGTGAGCTTTAGGGTTCATGGTATGGACTAGTTATGTCTGCTCTTGACTCTGGCTTGAGGCCACCCTCTAAAAGGTGTAGGTCAAAACATGTATCTTTGTGCATGAAGTGGCTGTCAGCAGTGGGGTGAAACAAAGAGGCCACGGCTCACATTCTCAGACTCCTTTTTAAAGGTCTCATTGCTTGAGTATTTGCTTGGGAATACACGGGATTAGGAGAGGGAAAAAAACGGTGCTATGAGCAAAGGGTATAGACATGGTGATGAGGAGACCAAAGGGATGGCAAGAACAGCGTAAGCAGAGGAGGGCAGCTGTTCCTTCTGTGGCCAGCTTGGTGGTGACGTGGGGAACAGTGGCTGGAAGATGCTCAGTGGATTGGATGTGGTGCAGGAGCGTTTGTCAGGTTCAACCTGCAAATATACAAGAGACTAGTAAGCCGTGTTGCTTCCACTGGCCAAACTCATTTCATATACTAGCCCTTCCTTATATCCTGCTGTCCCCTCTCCTTTGTAATCCCTCTACAACCTCCTCACTCCGCCATCCTACCAACAGCTCTGTGTAGCTCCCCCCGCCCCAATGTGCGCCACCTTCCATCGCCTGCTGTGCCTCTGCAGCTTGCACTTGACAAGTTCTGCTTTCCCGAAACAGAGAAGGAGTGGCATTCAAAAGCCCCTGTTCACCTCCTTTACATCTCTCCCGTTCCTAGCAGGGGGTAGCAGAGCCCAGCCTGGCTCCACAACCCTTTCTCCCAGCACTCTGCACGATGTGCAGTCCCAATGTGTGCCATCAGATCGTGTATGTTCATTTCTCTCCGCTCTTTTTCCTGCTGCAGCTCTATTTCCTATTGTCAGAGCTAACGAGGTCAGGGCTCTTCTTAGTGCTTTTCTCATCCTCACTCTGCCTGTTGTGAATCACCCGTCACTGTTGCTGCAACTTCCCATGTACCTCTGTCTGTCCTCTCAATCCTGAAGTCCTTCCTCTTTCCCATTTTTCTTTCTCTCTGGTTTTAAAAACACTATAGTGAAAGCAGGAAAGTTGTGAAGACAGAAGGCCAATTTTAGCCATGGCACAAGCAAATGCAACTTCTGTTTCTTGGGCGTTATGTTTGCTAACTCCAGAGTGAGTTTAGCCTGTAACTGGTGCTGTTGAAAACTGTTGCAGGCAGAATTTGCATGTTTGATTTCAAGGCAGCTGTGATAATAGGAGCCTAAACAGTTGCTCTTTCTGAGTTGTCTTTACAAAAAGGGTTTACCGTATCCACCAGAGAAGTGATTTGGCTCAGTGATGTTGCCTCTGTATCAGGACAACCTGGTAATATCTTAGACTGCTTGCAAGCATTGGATCCAAAGCCTCCTGGCGCGGCTTCTCCAGATTGTTGCATAAACCTGAATTCAGAGGCAACCCGGTGAGCCCCAGCCTGCTGAGGTCTCTCATGAAGAAGTCTGCCAGTTTGTGTAGCTGGCTAGTGACCTTGCTTGAGCAGCAGTAAAATCCACAGTTAGCATATGCTGCTACACAGCTGCGCCAAGATGTGCTTCTCCATGACACACAGTTTTTCGTAATAGAGTGTATTTGTGTGAAGTCTCCTGCTAACTGCTCAGAGTGTTTTTGCTGAGCGACAGCCTGGTGCCTCCCAAGGTCTGTGTTCCCATAACATGGAGAAGGTCCTGGCTGTCAAGGGCAGGGTTTCCTCTGTGCATCCCAGACTGCATCAGTCATCTCCCTTTCAGAGTGCAAAACCTCCTCACTTAGAAGAAAAAGTACTCAGAGAAATGTCTGTTACTTAAAGCACTCTTTGATCCCTACGGTGTTATTTTTTTTTTCCCTGCATAAAGAGGGCAATGTGGCCCAACCTTTAGAATGCACGATTTTATGGGACAGGCAAATCCACTAGAGTTTTAAGTGACAGTACTGGCTCTAAGATTTCACCCTGCAGTTTAATCTTCAGTGAAACAAAATTGTTAGATTTATTTTTTAAGAGTCTGGTGTATATATTGGCAATCAAGCCTACAAATTGTGCCTTCTGATTGAACTCAGTAGACCCACAGCTTTGGGTAATTGAGACTGTAGCACGATAAAGAGTTTTGTTATGTCTTCATATATTGATCAGTCCAATTTAATTTCCTCATGGGGCCGGGACCACGCTAGGGATGATGGATTGTGTTGAAGGCCCGATAAGCCTATTTTAACAAAATATCTCAAGGGCTGCTAGAACCGAGGCAATTATCAATACTGGTGCATGTTTCCTTTCATCAAAAGTTAAGGGTTCGTTAATAGGCTGCACAGCAGCTGCTGCTTGCAACACATGACTTTTTTCTAATTAACTTGGAGATACTGTTTCCTGAGCCTTACGAGTTGGCTTTTTCCGGAAGGAAAAGAAATTGAGTTCCAGGCTTTGATTTTAACAGTATATGTCATGGCAGTATCTCCTGCACTACTATGTTCACTATTTTGGTACTGGAAGCCTAGATTACTTTTTAGAGTGATAGTCCCATCCCACTGCTTATGCCCATGTCTAAACTGCACACAAATCCTGGCATTTTACAACTTTTGAATTTTATGTCAGGTTACTGATGATGTCGGCCATTTTTAATGTTGGTATTACTGCTTAAATAGTCTCGTGTTGTAACTTTGCAACCAGCACTTTTCTTCAGCATTGGATATTGCAGAACTGTGTTTATTTCAGGCTCTCAGTTACAAGAAGGAAGCTTATTGTTGCTTCTGACTGTTTTAATTTTCCTGTATAAAAATCCTAACATTTCATGTATAATCTATTTGATGTAGGTGTGTTGTGGGTGTTAAATTCCTACTGCTATTTAATGTTGCAAATTGGATGTGTGGAAAGAAAATATAATCAAGGTAAACCGCTATGTTAAACTTGATTTTAAACACAGTTTTCAGATAAGCAGCTAGAAGTTTAGCACCTTACGGAATTGTTTTCCTTAGCTAATACGAGGAGTTGCTTTTGTTTTGTTTATTCATCAGAAAACAGTTCATACCATTTAACACTTGCTATAGTGTTTTCTGATTTCTTTTCCATTTCACACACATTATCTCATTAATTAGCACAGTTCTGTTCATTAATGCATGGATTGAAAGTCAGCAGCAACACGTTCCGAGGAATATTGGAAAATACCTTTGTTTCTAAGCATAGATGAACATGGATAATACGTAGAAAAAAATGGAAAGGTAACTGGGTTGCAGCAAATGTAACTGTACAAACCAAATTCTGTCACTTGCCAAAAATCCTATGTAGCATGTTTGGTGCTTCATGAAAAGCATCGCCTTACCTGATTTTTCTTCTTTTCTTGACATCTGAACTTCTAGAATAATTCAGACAAGTGAGAATTACAGTTTTCATAATAAAAAAGAAATATTTAGCACTGGTAACTGTTGCTTAAAATTGCGAGTCAAGTGTTTCTTAGACGATCAGAAATAGGAAGTTAGATGAAATATATTTTAGTTCTCTAGGTATCCTGGAATTCTTTTGATGTTGTGACTCATATCCAATTATTACTGGAATTCATGGTACTGAAGATCCCATGAGTGTTTAATGGGAGATGGCTGGTAGCATTACTATCCTCCAGGCTGCTGTTTACTGTCACTTCCTCAGTTACTGTCATGACTAAAATATGAAGATGAGTGGGTTACTTTAAATTACCTTCAGCAATGATTAATTCAGATCAATCACCTAATCTTACAAACACTAGAGCACTGAAAGAACAGTAATGGTGTTAGAAATCCCCTAAACTCACCCAATATTAAGTATATTCTGGATTTAGTCCTGCAAACATACTGATGGGACCAATTCAGACATTCCTACGGATGTGATGGAGCCAGTGTGCTTTTACCCGACAAGCAGCTCCTTTGATTTCAGTGGTCTGTAATCCTTATTAAAACTGTGCAATTCAAAGTAGGTTGAATGTCACAGTTTAGCAGGACTAAGAGCAGTTTCAGCATACTTTAGGCCTTTGCTTACTTCCTCACTCCTTAGTCCTCCACCTCCGTTCCTCTTGTCAGGGTCTGTTCCATGTGACAGCCCACCGTAGGCTACCTGCTCGAACCGTTGCACAGAAACAGAGTCTACTTTTCAGGAAGGAGTTGTAATTGGGTTTGTATTTTAAAGGTTATTATTATAATACATAGCAAGTTTGAGTTACAGAATGGACCTTTAAAAATAAACTATTTTTAGGAACATACAGTACTGGAAAAAAAATAGCAATTATTTGGTTCTAAATTGGAAGAAAATTAAGTGAATGGTATAATACATGGGAATGTTCCCTGTACCTGCTTTTCTGGAATATACGTTAATTAAGGTCTTAAACAGTGGGACAGTAACACTTTATTATTGATATTAAAGCTTAATGGTATGTTTCATTACATACCTCACTAGTTCTAGAAGCTGAGGCCGGAAATGTGAAATTGTTTTTTGTTTTAGTAATACAGATAATGTTATTTTAAACAATATTATTTATTGTTTTATCCTTAAATCTCTAGGTGCTGAAGTGTTGTATATGAACATGTCAGCATATAATGAAGGTCGGCTTCAGTCGTCTTTCTGGATTGTCGATAAACAGCACGTGTACATTGGAAGTGCCAGTCTAGACTGGAGATCGCTGGGACAGGTAATTTAATTGCAAAACTAATCTTACACCCTTTGAGGGTTTAATGAGGAAAAAAAGTAATGTTTTGAGGCCAGCAAGTGAAGATGGATGGCTTTCTTCTTCTGATAGTTTGCTGGCAGAAGTGCCAGCATCAAAAACCGTGCTGCCACAGTTTTGATGACTCTTCTGTGTTGGCAAAAGTATATTACTATAAATTTTACTTCTTTTTGTTGTAATAGCTATCCTCAGCAGTTATGCTTTGGGTTGAATTTAAAAAATATGATTGCCTTTATCGAGGAGGGCCACAAAGATGATCAGAGGGCTGGAGCACCTCTGCTATGAAGACAGGCTGAGAGAGTTGGGGCTGTTCAGCCTGGAGAAGAGAAGGCTCCGGGGTGGTCTTATAGCAGCTTTCCAGTACCTAAAGGGGGCCTACAGGAAAGCTGGAGAGGGACTTTTTACAAGGGTGTGTAGTGATAGGACAAGGGGCAATGGATTCAAACTGAAAGAGGGTACATTTCAATTAGATATAAGAAAGAAATTTTTTACATTGAGGGTGATGAGGCATTGGAACAGGTTGCCCAGAGAAGTTGTGGATGCCCCATCCCTGGAAGTGTTCAAGGCCAGATTGGATGAGGCTTTGGGCAACCTGGTGCAGTGGAGGATTTCTCTGCCCATGGCAGGGGGATTGGAACTAGATGATCTTTGAGGTCCCTTCCAACCCTAACCATTCTATGATTCTGTGATTTCTGTGGTGATGATGTTGTTTGAAGATTTTAAGTTCTGGTTTGCTTATTTAAAAAAATAAAAGTGAACAAACCCGTTGGAAAACAAACCGCAACAGAAGCTCCCAGGTAACGTTGTGTGTATGACCTAGTCTTTCTCATTTGCCATTTAAAAAAGAAAAAGCAAAATTTGCTTCCAAATGGGTGAGTGGGTATTATGCTGAAATACCCACCACTTCTGAGGAGGGAGAGATTTATGGGTACAGAAAGTCTACGACTATTTTGAAGAAGTAATTAATCAGTAATGCAGCTTATTTGTCTTTTTGTAGGTGTCTGTAGCTTTTTTTTCTTTCCCCAGCAGTTTCAGCATTATTAAAGGCTGTAATGTTCATTTTTGCAACATACCTATGGCTGTGTGAGGCTGCTGCTGATCATATTTAAGGAGTGGAACCTGTGCTTTTAGATCTAAGTAAATGAAATGCACAACAGAGGGGGAAAAAGAAGCAATTCTAGGTAGTTATCAGTTGCAGTAAGAAAGCTTACTTTCTAAATATGAGCAGAATCTCAGAAACACATGAATAATTTTGAGCATAGGCTCTAATGATTTTGTAAAGAAGGTATGCATGGTTGTGTTGAAATTTTTAAGGTTTGTTTTGAGGTAAGAGGCTGAAGGTCTGAATAAAACCAAATCAAACATTTTAGTAAAGAAAGAGTGAAGTAAGTACATTTTTGCTGTTCCTATGTGTCTTAATTTATTTAAAAGGTAGCTTTTTGAATGCTTACAAAGGAATCTGGAAAATGTAGAAAAGAGGATGTTCTTACTAAACCAGCTTTGAGTTTTGAGTACCAGTGAAATAGTAAATGTGAAGAAGCGAAGCACATCTACCACACAGATTAGTTGAAGGTCATAATCACTAAAAAATTTTATTAACAGATGCTAAAATTCCTTACAGGTTTGTTCTTCTGATACTGAAGTAAATCTTGACTCTTGTAAGCACACCTATGTTAAACTCTGAGTTCTTTTTGGGCCACTGCTTCAAATGTGTTTCGTCACTCCTAATTTTATCATTCTCTTTTCTGCATGCAATTGGAGACTTTTTTCGTCTTGTTGTCGTATAACAATATGTGTATTTTTATATGTAGTGATAAGAGGAAGCCCAGGAGAATATTTGTACAGAGCAAAAAGAAATCTGAGTTGCAGTTAAAGAGAATCTGCTTTCACTTAGTTGAGAAATGTACGCTGGGGTTTCAGAAGCGCCTAAGGAAATTAGATTCCTGGCTCCTGTTGACATCAGATATGAGTATCCAATTCCCTTACCTCAGAATTACAGGTTAATAAATCAGCACAACTGTCAAAGAGATGTGATATGCGGTCTTAAAATAATAATCTGTCTTGAACTTTTCTTTTAACATGAGAGGCAAAGTAAGCACAGAACTCTGTCATTTTATTCTGAGTGCTTTCCACAAGGAAAATGCTTTCCACAGGCATAGGACATAATCTTGAAACTCACAGTGAGCTGAGCCCTCACTGGGGAAACACATCTCCCACAGGTCCTCATTATCAGAATCCCAGCATAGCTGCAAATGAGGGATGAGGTCTCTCTTCTCTTCCCTTAAAGCAGCCTAAACAAGCAAGGACTAAGTTTAACTGGGAAATAGTGGAGCAGATGGTTCCAGGCCAGTCCAGTTCCATGCCCTTGCATTTGTGCTGCCTGCAAGAGGAACAGAACTGTGGTTATTGAATCAGTAAACCACTTCGGCCAATATTACTAGACCTTGACAGCACATACAGGATAAAGTAGGTCTCTGCTGTTCTAGAAATATATGATACTTTGACCTTTCAAGCACAGCAGTTGTCTTCTCACTCAAACAAAACATCCAGTGTGAGTCAGTCACCTTGTAGCTAACAATGTAGTAGCACGATTCCAGTGTAAATTATGTGAGTGCAACCAGCTTTGCATCTAATAATATTTAAAATGCAATGAAAAGCTTAAGATTTTAAACCATGTGTGGTTGTCGTATGTTTTCACATGCCTTCCCCTGTATTTTCTACGTGCATGTTTATTGCTTCCTCTGTGCTGAACCTTTGCATACATTGAGGCCGGTACAGTGCGTGGTTGGTATAGGAGCACCAAGCTGCTTTGCTGGTGCGGCAGCTGCACAGAGATGCAGCAGGTCTCTACAGTACGTCACCCTGGGCTGCAGTCCTGGATCTTTCCTACTTCTTGCTTGCTAAGGGCCTAATGGTGCAGGAACGCTTCTGTGACATGGCAGTGCAGAGCATTTAACACATAGCAGCTCAGCATACTACAGAATATTTATGAAAGGTTACTGTGGTAGATATAACTGGATTTTGTCCCTTTGCAGGGACGTAAAAAAAAAAAAAAAAAAGAGTCTGTTAGCATCATTCTTCTCTTGGGAGCCTGAGCCTAAAGCTGAAATACTAATTTAACTTTTAACAGCTCCTTAGAAAACATCATCAGGACTTGCATGTCCAAAGGTGTCAGCTTTGTTTTTACAATCTTTGTGGAAAATTCTTCTCTACATTTGTAAGCTGGACTCTAGAAATCAGTGTCACATGAGACTTACTGAGTTTTGTTGTCATTTTCTTGACTTGCCAGCACTGTCAAGAAGCAATACTAGTATTTCCTTTAGAAGTAAATTTTCTGCATCAGGGAGAGATTTTTGTATGCTGCATATATTACTTAGAGAATAACCTTTAAAGTTGCATATATCCTTGTGGCTTCTCTGTCAGTTTTAATACCTGCCAGAGTCTCAGCATAGAAATTATGGGCAAGGCTGGCAGAACAGTCTATTACTAAGTTTGATCATTACTTTTCAAGTAAAACTATGTTTCAAGTAAGTTGCAAGCTTTCCAAAACACTAATAATTTTGGCTGAAATAATCTGTGCTAGCTATCTGCTTCAGTCTGAAATCAAACCCCACAGGCAAATGAAAAATACTTCCTAGAGTCCCGGAAAAAAAGAATTTTACAAAAATTAGATGTTTTTTCATTCATAGTGTAATATTTTGATCTTTTCTTTGAAAAGGTTTAGATTTTGTCAGGGATGCATCTTCTTCTGTTGTTGGCAATATATGGCAAATATTGCCCAATTACCTAACCCATTGGAAATTCCAGGTTATTAACAGCCAGAGGTTTTACCACTTTCTTAGACAGGTGCCGCTGTCTTAGCTATAGTAAGCTGTGTAAAATTTTATCAATTAAATAATCTTTCTACTGATCTAGTTTCTTTCCAATACATTTATGTAAACTGACAAAATGGTGCAAAAATGTGTATAAACAAGTCTTTCAAGTTTACCTCCTTGGTGAAAGATCTGTGGAGAGATGGTCTGTTGTTCTTTGTGGTGCCATTCTGCCTTCAAAATATGATTTAGGGAGGACACTAGGAGAGGAAAATTATGAAGATAAAATTTTAAATCACACTTTGAACTTTTTATTTCATATAAGAGATCTATGTGATCAGCTGTACAACTTCCACCTTCTACTTCACTGACATGCATTCGATAATGGATGCAATTCATAAAATATTTTCCCAGATTTGCCGGGCTCTCACCTACTAAGTAAACAAGCCAATCTTTGGACCATAGCTATGCAACCTACTGAAGTGTACGTTTAAGGTACCGACACATTGAAGTCTATTTTTATTCAGCAAAATACATGCATCTATCTTAAAATGTTTGTCTGTGAAAGGATTGTTGTGTTTTAGCCTGGCCGGCAACTAAATGCCACACAGCTGCTCGCTCACCATCTCCCAGCCCCAGGGAATGGGGAAGAGAATAAAAGGAAAAAAAGGAAGGTCACTTGAGAGTTGAGATAAAACAATTTAATAATAATATAAAATTTAAAATAATAATAACATATTAATATGTATGTATAACAATATATACAAACAAGTGATGCACAGTGTAATTGCTCACCACTTGGTGACCAACACCTGTCCCGTCCCGGCAAGCAATCCCGAAACAGATAAATCCTGACACTGCAATCCCAGATGAGTGAAAGGCCCAAAAAGAGAACAAGAGAGAGAACTCCCAGAGACCAAAAGTCCAAGAGAGACCTCAGAAGAGCCAGGAGCCCTTCTTTCCAGCCAACCCTCATCTCTATGCTGGGCATGACGTTTCATGGTATAGAAAGCTCCATTGGCCAGATCAGCCCTCAATCTTAAGTCTAAATTCAAATCATAAGGGAGTTGTGGACCCTTTGTCCCAGCTACCCTCCCCCCTAGTCTGTTGTACTCCTGCACCCTGGCAAAACATGGGAAACTGAAAAGTTTT